GTGCATGTATTTGTGTTGAAGGGCTACAATATATAACCCAGTAAACAGTATTGTTCTTTATTATAGAAAGAGAGAAGGAAAGGTTCTAATTTATATACATATTGCTGAAATAAAAATGTGGCCTCTCCACTCAAGAATGTGGCTGTAATTTTTCAAAATTACTTGTAAGTCTTATATGACCCATTTATAGCTAAACTGGGATATTTTTAAGAAATAAATTTTTAGAGAAGAAGGTTCAACACAACAGAAATTTTGACAGGACAAACTGGCTCCAAAGAACCACTAACACTATCGACTGCTGTCTGTGAGCACAGTGCAGTTCCCTTGGCTTCTGTTGCTTTTGTTGGGTCAAGATAGTTAATTGCTTGATCCTTATTAGACATTAAATAATACTGATTCATGCCTCAGTATACTTACATTCTGATGACAGGCATTAAAGAAATGAGGCACCATGTTATGAGTCAAAAGGGAGAAGCTCTTTTGGGATTTAGAGATTTTATTTTTGCTTATTACCAGTTAATCAAAGCCATTTCTATGAAAGCAGGTGAAAGCTTCCTCTGAGCATGTAGCAGACTGACAAGGTACAAGCCAGCTTGAATCCAGAGGTTGTGTCACTGTGTTCCACTGTTTTGCAGGAAATAGAAGCTCACCTGTTCATAGTGCTGCACAATGTTTCAGCTAATGCTGGGCTACTTCTTGCCAGCCTAAAGGGACTTGTGACACTGACTTCTCACACATTCACAGGCATGCATCCATTTCTGTGGGTATCAAAGACTTGTTCTGAGATTCCCCACAGCAGTGGAAGCAGTCCAGTCATCTCTAAGGAGGTTTGTATCATCCATCTTGCATATCCCAAGAGCTCTAACCAGAATTTATTGAGGCTAAGTGTCATATCTAGGAGCTCCAGCTGAAATATGGTTTCAAAAGGTAAGTACAAAGTAAGAAAGTAAGATTCCACTTCCAAAACTTCAGCCTGAACTGGGAGGAAACTTAGATGGAAATGATCATCCAGCCCAATCTCTTGCCAAAGCAAGATTATATCCTGCAGGCTGTTTTCTAGCATTTGCCAATCTGGCTATAAAAGCACCAAACAAACAGGCTCCATTGCTGGGAAGAGTCTGGGAGACTGTTCCATTGTTTAAGAGACGTCATGCCAGTTCATTGTATTCTGAAATTAAGTATTTATTTTTTTTTTCTTATCTTAGCTACATCTTATCCTTGGTTATGTTCTGAGATACCAAATTAAAATCTGACATTATTAAAGGCAATATCGTTCTTGGCTCTTACAATCTACCTTTGTGTCCTCAAACCCAGAGTGTTGATCACCCCAAGGCAAAGGGCTGCACAGCTGCATGACCATAATTATTCTATGTTATGGGGGGCCAGGGCAAACATGGCTATAAAATGCCTTTTGCTGCCTTTTTATATCTGGCTTCCTCTGTCCTAATTAATAACCTTCTCCATCCCATCACAGTTTTTGCTGTTCTCAGTGAGCGTTTGCCAGCAGCTGTGTCTACTTTAGTAAGTAGTGTGGCCTTGTAAGAGTGTGGGGTGAAAGCAAAACTGTAGAGTAAAATGGTTGGTGCTGAGGGCTTAACATCCACAGTCATGCATGCTTTAAGGTTTTGGAATAGTTCTGGGCTGGTCCCTCAAACTGCATGTATGTACTGGCTGGAGATCATTATATGGGCTTCTGGAATGCATTTTCTGATTTAGTTTTTTCTGAAAGTCTGCGTGTATTAGTTTGTTTTTTTATGAGAATCAGAGTGTAATATATAAGGATGAACTATAATGCTGGTGGCAGATACAATCCAAATATTTTTGTGTGTGTGTTGTTCAGAGCTGAATGCAACATTACATACCAACAAGAGAAATTTGAGTCAGACATCAGGAAAATGTTTGTAATGATAAGGACAATGAAGCACTATGGAAGTTGAATAAAATCAATGCTGAAATGGATTAATTTAATATCCTAAGAAAAGGATAAGCAAAAAATAATTTGCTAAGAAGAAAGATACAGTTGTTCCTACATAGAGAAACAGAAATAGGTTTGGTCAGTTTATGGCATCCCTGTGGACCAGATTTCCCCTGGAGAACATGAGGCTTGGGGGGAGACCATATTGTTCTCTCCAACTACCCAAAAGAAGGTTGTAGTGAGGTGGGACTCAGGCTCTTGTCCCAAGCAACAAGCAGTAGGAAAAAAGGACAGGGCCTCAATTTGTTCCAGGCAAAGTTTAGACTGGGTATTAGGAAAACTTTTTTAATGAAAAAGGGTTGTCAAGCAGTGGAAGAGACTGTCCAGGGGAGAGGTGAAATCACCTTCCCTAGGAGTCTTTAAAAGACATGTAGATCTGGCACTTGGGTACATGGCTTAGTAGTGGACCCAATGAGTTTTAAGGCCATTTCCAACATAAACCATTATATGATTCTATGATTCTATAATGGGTGCCCCTTTTTCTTATGCGTATCAGTTTCATTGTTTCCCTTTTTAAAATTTTATGTCCTTTGTCCTGCTGTTCATTATAATTTTTTCTTTTCCTTGTCTGTTATGAATAACTTGTGCTACTTTAGCTACATCATGAAGTCTCATTGAAGGCAATTTACTCTCCCAGATATCAAAAGTTTTTAACAAAGTTGACTCAAAAATCTTGTCTACCAAATAATACACATCATAGGTGATAATATACTGTGAGCCAGATTCCAAAACACATATCATATTTTCTTCAGGTCAGTTTAAATGCAGGTTCAGATGAGAAATAATCACAAATACTTTACTAAACTGATGGCATATAATTGTTTCCTGATGTTACTTTGTAATTCAGTCAAGCGGAAAACTTCACCTTAATAAATTTGCCACCATTCTCTTCCTCTCTATTGTAGAGTTTTGGGAATTTTGTTCAATATTGTGTGTATCAATATGCTCACTGTTGAGAAAGAAGTGTCTTGAAAGAGAACTGCACCCCACAAACTACACATTTCAGAGCCAAACCCCAAACAAATTATACTCCTAAGCCTCAGATCACTCAAAGAGAAACTCAATAAATTTTGGCTTCTCTACCATTGAATTTAAATAGATATTAAGACCTTAAGACACTAAGGTTTCTTTTAAATGCCTCCCTTCTGTATAATAATTTTTTGCTTTATGCATTTTCTGCTGTGACTTGTGAAGATTCCAATGTCCCAAGAGGATGGGCCTTTTAAGTGGATGGTACAGGTGTCCAGTTTCCACAGGGAGAAGCAGTCTAGACTTGCCTCTCGACTACTGTTTTATGCAATCTCTGGGAAAAGGAAGACATAGGCTTAAACCTACCCTACTAAAACATTTTACAATCCAGGTTGCTCATTTCCCAATAATTTATCTTAAACCTGCTTCATGCTCTAAAGATAACAAAGATTTAGAGATCCAAGGCCACTTCATTTGTGTTCTTTTGTGTTGACAATATTTTGTTTAGAAAAATATATACTTTCCTTTCTCAGGTATTTCCATTTTGCTAGGATAAATTATATTCAGAAATATTTTTTTTATGTCCAAAATGATGTGTATACCCCTATCCATTTCTGAATTTAGCAATATTAAAAAAGAACAATAATGGGGGAATGTTTTGCTACAAACACCAGTTTTGGAATGAAAACATTTTCATCTATGAGGCTCCATTTGTTCTGCAGTTAGCAAATACTTCAATTGACACTGTTGTCAAACCAAGGACATAAAACTGAGAGTGTGATATGTTATCTGCTGCCAATTACGTAAGTTCGTGATGCATAAGTTATTGCAAAAAATGGGGTCATGACCCCTAAACCAACTCCTTTTGAAGTTGTAGCTCTTCATAAAACCTCCCGCATATTTGTATATTTTAGTTGGTTAACTCTTAACTGATTTTATGCAAGTGCTTATGAGAATGATTATATGACATTAAAGAAAAAGCAGACTCTTATGTCTACAGAAATACCAATTTGTTGATATGCTTATGGAGAGGTGAATCTGACTAAAACAAGGATTTTAGTTCATAATCAAAGAACTTAATCCAAGTTCCTTATCAAAGAGATGCTTGAAAAGAAATATTTTTGACCATCAAATGTAAATATTAAAGTTATTGCAGTATATTATCTAGCAGCGAGGTAAGAAGATTAGGACTCAACCTCTCCAGTCCTTGTCTTACCTTTTATATGATCTTTTATGACAATGTTACACTAATCACTGAATTTTCCATATTGCTTTCAGTTATCTTTCTGTTTGACTAAATATGACTAAAACTCATATTCATCACTTGAAAACAATGTGCAAGTAATAGACTTAAACCTTCATTTGAAAAATACCAGCAAAGCTGGGAAGAGTGTTAGGTGAAGAAATCAATTGGAATTGGAACAGCAAGGTCCTTTTTCATGTCTGGGGCAGAGGTTCCAGAAACTTTAAGACTCAAGATATTGTGATGCTAAAGATACGCAGCACCTGCATTCTAATGCAAAGGGTTTGTTAGAGGATCATTTAGCTAAAGGTATTTTTTTTTTCTTGGTTTTTTTTTTTTTTTTTTATTTCAGAAAGGAAGAAAGTATGACTTTAAAATATTAGCTCTTTTCAAAATTTGATGGAATTATGACCTTTCAGATGACCGGACAAAGCCTCTCCTAGAACAGCTAGCAGTCCTTCTTCCTCATTCAGGTCAAGGACTGAAAAACAGGCGATTCATACTCTACTAAATGACTTTACTGAGTGGTTTTCTTTTTTTCCCTTGCATTTTTGGGACCCTCCAGCTGCCTCTGCTGCTCTGCCACTTGCTAACTTCATACAAGCAGTTACCTGTTCACTGACCTGGGGAATGACCAATGCAACAGTTCAATGGGCAGCCTGAGTTCAAGCCCTTGTTCAATTAATGGTTATTTATTTATACAAAGTGAAACAGGTCCAACAGGAGAGACAGAATACAAGAATAGTTTGATATTTTGTGGCCAGAAAGCTGGCCTGGAATATGGGTTTCTGACGTCTTGCAGAACAGAAACTTGAAATCTGGACTCCTGTGCCACCAGTCAGTGTCTTGATCACAGGATGATTATCTAGGAGGAGCTGACGTTTTCTTGCTCTTTGATGTATTTCATCCTAGGCATGAGAATCTTCCCCAGATAAGAACTTCATAAGAACTGGTAAGTACCTGCAGAAGGTTTGGTCTCAGGAGAATATAATCTCTCAGTGAAAGAATGCATCACTGTAAACTCCAACGGGGCCATGACTAGAGCTTTTACAACCATGTAGGTCCAGGGTGTTCTGTCCATTGTGATGGTCCATCAATGTCCTGAGTTTGAAGGGGAGGTCAACAAGCAGTGCTGGAGGGCATGAGTCTCAGGAAGTCTGCAGAATGCCAAAGCATATGTCTGCATAAGTGTCAGACTTGTAAATCAGCTGTTGGTACAAAAGTTTAACAATGGGGAAATGGTCACATTCAAACATTCGTTTGGGGATTAGGCTTGAGTCTGGCTGCCTTTAAACACTTCAGCTGACAATGATATGAAACCAGGGCATAAAACCAGGAGCCTGACTTGTGATCTGCTGCCAGTTGCCTTCAAATTACCACGTCTGATGAGAGCAAAAAGAGATGAAGTTAATGGAGAAATGGGACAGGTCATCTGGACTCTGATAATTAATGTTCCCTAGAAAATAAAAGTTTTGAAACTTTCCTGGAAATGAAGTTTTATGATCTGCTACAACAGCCCACAGGGGAAATGCTGCAACCTACACATATTGACAATTGTGGTATTACCAGACAATTAATTTTTATGAGTAATTTCCAGAGCAACCCTCAACCATGCAGTCACGCATATAGTGCAACAGTGTGCCATGGAATTGAGACTCAGCTAAAGGCCAAAGATTATACAGATTTATTAATATTTGCAAAAAAGTTCCCAATAGCAAGGAGCAAATTGAGCAACAGAATGGGAAAGAAGGAATGGACTTGACAATAAAATAAGTTTTGTAAGGATATGATCCAGAGCATGGTGAACTCAACAGAAAGATTTCCATTTATTTTTTTTAAGGTCTTGGATAGATCTCAAGAGAAATGAGACACTCTATATTATACCTTTCCCCCTACTTTCTCCATCTGAATGGAAAATACATTCTCGTTCACAACTGGCATAGCCTTTAGTGACCAAGAATTACAAGCAAAATGTTGATCACATTTGAGATGTAGAGCCAAGAATCCCTACCTAAGCAGTCCCAGAAGTGGCTCTCCCATGGCTAAGCAACTGGCAAATTCTCTCTAACAGTACCTTCATATTTCTATTAGACTCAGAAGAGTCTTACCCTGTACTTAATGTTGCGAACCCATTTTACTTTCTCACTTAAAATACAGAGAATAATGGAGTAACTGGATTTATAATTTAATTTCTCTTAAATCCTTCTCCATACACACCTTAATTGCAAAGGCAACATTTAATTGTCCTCCATTTATGGTTATAGTTAAACTATAGTCTAGTTTAACTAGTAATAGCTGTTACTTTTAAACAGCTATTAAATACTTCAGTAGTTTTTAAACCATGCCAAGGAATACTGGCAATAAAAGAACAATGAACAGAGATGTCTGGAGATGAAGTTGTAGAACTGAATTTGTTTATATATCATTCAGAAGGAAATAATAGTTCTGTCAAAGTCCCTGTTAAAGGCTGTTAAACAGAATGATATACTTTGCACTAAGTGAGTCTACACGGCTCATGGCTTATGGCCCCAAGTGATAGATCTCCAAGATAAGCTTGGTTATCTCTTTTCAAAATTTTTCCTTCAGTGGGAACAAAAGATTGCTGCCTAATATAAGTAAGATTTGAGAAACTCATCCTGCTGTGATAGCAACTCTTATTTCATCCTACACACTGAAGAACATAATTTATCTTAACACTAGGCATTGAGCAAAGCTAGCTGTGGGGAAGTGGTACTAATAGGGTTTCCTTTTACTGCTGAACTCAATTGAAATCTGCAGTCAAGCCAAGCCTGGTTTAAATACTCTGCTGGTTATTTTCTTTAACATGGTGTGAAAGACCAAGGCTGCTTTATTGCAATGGAAGGATAAGTTACCAGCAAGACATGCTGAGTTGAGGAGCTGGTGACAACACGCAGAAAGAGAAATTGGCATTACTTCCCATCACTTTGGAGATACAAGAATAAGTTTCCTTACAGAGAAAACCAAAACATTTTCAGTTGAGAATGCTCAACAGAGAATGCTACTGTTTGGTGGATTGCAGCCTTCTCAGTGTCCAGCAGATCAGGAATAAACACTTCCAGGTCTGTAAGAACAAGCTGCTCACCTTGCCCATGATTGGAGTGCCTGCTTCTCATCTTCTCATCTTCTCATCTTCTCATCAATCTGGATTCCAGATGTATCAGAAAGCCCAAATTCCATGGTCTGAGGATTTATTTACTCATTCCCTTCACAGCCATTGTAGGTGCTGGCTTTCCCTCTGTGGAATCACTCTGTGTTGCTTCCTCCAGGATCCTGTAAGGTAGCATCAGTGGAAACAGCTGTCCTTCACCTGGCCTTGACACACACACAAACCCCTTAACAATAGGCATTGGCATCTCCTTTGGCAAGGTGATCTGACCCAGGGGGCACAGCACCAGCAGTGCCTAAAGCTTTACAAGAGAACAGAAAATATGCAGTAGAATTGGATTAAAAGAACAGAAATGAAAAAGACCTGCAGTTTTCCGCTGTTACAGCACTGGACAAAGAACAGCACTTCCAGTTTAAAGTGTGTCAAATGATGAGGCACAGATAGTGTATTTGGAGTTATCAATTTAGCTTTTGCCCCAGACCTTCCTGAGGACACTGGGAATTCCTCTGTGTTTGATAAGGCACAATTGAGGCCCTTTCCTCAAGGACAGGTAAACACATAGCCATTAACAGCCAGGTTGTAAAGGATAACTGAGCTTACCCAAGGACTTGTTTTCTCAGGTTCATCTGCACTATCAGCTTGACCACACCTGTAAAGATCCCCTGGGGGTCATATAGGTTGGCCTCTTTGCTTTGTCTTCTCTCAGGATTTTTTTATTTTTTTATTTTTTTTTTGCAAGTTCCCTGTCCATAAAGAGGTGTGGCAGAATGATTCTTGAAAACTTGGCTCTGTTCACTCTATCAGTGTCACAGCAGATCTAGTTTTTTACCAGGATGCCCCAGTGCTATGGCTTGAGGAATGAGGGGGACACAGACTTTATTTATAAAAACGATATTAAAATCTGGTTTGTTGCCACAAATAACATCAAGATAGAAAATCCTGATTCAAGAATTGGGATTCAAAGGTCAATATGAGTTTGTTGGGCAGAAACAATTATTTAATCCATGTTGTGGAGCAACAAACCCACTAATATCTTGGTTTTACCTGGAAAGTGATGATAATGACAGAGATGATATAGGTCTATGTCTATGACAAAATTAGCAGATTTTTCTGTGGACCCCATCCAAATACTACTGAAGCCTCCAGAAAAACCCCCCACAAAACCACACAAAAACAAAGGGTGCTTTTCTGTGCTTGCATACCAGAGGAGATGTGTATCAGTTTTGCTTTTAAACACAAATCTTAGGATGCATCCAGACCCATCCAGCACACGATTACGCAGCTGATGTGTACATTTCTCCTTTTTCCACTCTCATCAAAAGGTTCATCAAAGCTGTGGAGATGTTTGATATTCCTGGTGAGATGAGGTCAGTGCCCCTCTCTTGGAGCTGATTCATATGAAGTGGAGGCTGAAAGGGGACAGAGGGCATGGGAGAGAATAGGTACTATTTTTAGCACAGAGACATTTATCAGTAGCTGTGGCATCTCTGGAAATCAGCAAAGAGAAGTCTCTGTTGGGGACATGATTCATGAAATAATATACAGAAGACATGTGGAGACCTGCAAATAGCAGACTCCCCTACGGTCATGCCATTGACACCTGTTTGCATTTGGATTCTATCATTGTGTGCCAGTATTTCAGACTTATTATTTTTTCCCTTAGTCTTTTAGGGGTTAGCACAGATGGTGACTTCTCTTGTGTGTTTTGCCCTTTACACTTGTTTCTAGTGACCACCTGACTGCCTACATTGTGGTTCTGTTCTTTTCAGAGCGCTATTGATTATATAGAGCACTTTGTGGGAATCTGGTATAAAGGGATGGCTTTATAAACCATCATGGGCTCTGGGTATCTATTTTTATCAACCTAAGCAATTGTTGCTTTGAAAAAGAGACCCCTATTTCCCAGGCTGTGTGTTGCTGACCTCGGTTAGTCCGAACTCCTTTGACCTCAGTGCAGCTTAAGCGATGTGACAGCCGAGTCAGCCCCTTTAATTCCAGTCTTTGTGAGGCTCATGTGATAATCATGCACTTGCTCTGTCAGAGGAACCGGCAAAGAGCGATTCTGTCTGTACTTGCTCCCTGCAGCAGACCTCTTTCTTACCTTCTCTCTTCCACCAGATTCCTTTCATTTTGTTGGTTCTATTCAGGAACAAAGAGGACTTTGTTGAATTGTCTTTGTGGTTTATTTTCCTGAACCTTGCAAGATAGCAGACTTTTGCCACTGTTTTATCCAATCCTTTATCACATGCACAATACCTGGATGCTAATGGAGGCTAAAGTATGTTAGCCTAACTATCTCCCTTTCTTTTTTCAGGTTGGAAGCCAAGGCTGACTTCTGGATGCCAAGTTAGGAATAATGGCTGGAGTAAAAACTCAGGGAGGGGTCTGTCTATACAGCTGCAATAAAGGATTCAGTCAGAGGAGCTGTAGTCATCAGTAGATTTCATCTTGTTTTTCATGTTCTCTGGTCTTACTAGGCCCCCCCATGTCTTTGTAGAAATCTATTTCTTTACAGGTGTAGAGGTGTACACATCTTCATCAAATGGTCTTTGGGCACATGTTCAAAAAGAGATAAAAAGGCATTGGCTGGCCACTACAGCTGTTAATATTTCACAGCTTTTATCTAAGCCTGTGAAAATGTTTTGACATGTTAAACTGCTGTGGTCTGCACAGATGCAGAAAGGCAGTTCAAAAGAGTGAGATGAAGGACTCTAGTTTATAGATTTTACCATAAAAGTCTTCTTCAAATCTCAGGACAAGTCAGTAGTGTGGTGAAGACTAAAAAGAACAGCTGACTCTAATCTTCTGCCCTAACCACTGTCCCAGCTGCTTTTCTCATGATCTGCCACTCTACCTAGTCCCAACACACAGCTCTTGACATGTTTTCTTTATTTAATGCATCAAAATGTGTTTTTTAAAATCATGGAAAATGTAGCCATTACTCAAGGCTGTCCTTGAGTGATAACTTTGTCTGTTTTGTCTACTGCCAGAAGGACACAGTGTTGTCCTGGATTCTCTGGACAAGGTAATAACTGAGAGTTGCTTCATCAAACTTTTTCCCATGAGGGGAGAGATCTATAATCTTTGTTTTCAGTGAAACAGACTAACATCTCTAAAAGGCACCAAAATACAGTGCTTCTGGACTCTGTATAAAAAAGGTCAGGCGGTGTTTAATCCTGAGAGTGACCTCATGGACCTTGAGAGAATTTCATCAAGGATGTAGTTAGTTTGTATTTTGCAATAATCTGAAGGAAATAAGCTTGACATTTCAGAGATAAAGCTCACATGCAACACCATTCCAGTCACCCAATGTACTTTGTAAATGGGATTTCTGTGCTGTTTATTTCTAAAAAATTCTCATGTTCAAAATCTGAAACTTTCAGCCCTTACTTGAGCAAAAATTGCAGAAACCAGTATGAATAGTGCCAATATGAATACAGCAAAGTGAAATAAAAGCTGGAGGATCTGGTGCTGTGTTATTTGTCTCATGCTGCAAAACTTCAGCAAATTTGTCTCCAGTGAGCAAAGTGAGCAGTTTTGACAGCTTTTATTACATTGAATTACAGTGACAAATAGGGGCATTGGTTTGCAGAACATTTGAAAGTGTGATAAACACAGTCCTAATGAGAAAGATTTTCTTTTTATTTGACAGAACACCACTGTCTTTCCTCATGCTCACAATTGCACACACAAACAGACACACACACACACAAAACAAACAAAAAACCTGGTTATTTGAGGCAAAATTCCTGAAATATTATTCTCTAAATCTTTAAGCTTTCACTTATTACTTTTTATTCACAGAGGTATTTTACGATTATATTGTCCACAGAAATTGTAGCAGTGATAAAATAAAATAAAATTGTTAGTTCAAACACAGAGTACCACAGTGTTTTCTTACGAATTTAACTATGAATTTAAAATCAAACATGGTTTTCAACATTAAAAATCTTATTGTCCAAAGGATAAATGGTGCTTGCAGGAAAATAATTGCTCCTATAGCCCTCATGAAAATATAGTCTCTAGGTTGTTTGACTCCAGTTTTCCCCACCACGGTGCTTTTTGAACTTTGAAGCCTACAGTGAGCAACTTGTACTACAGAAGAAAATAATTTAATATCCACGTGCACACAACAGTTGTAGCAAGCTCACTGGAGAGAAATCTGTTTGGAAAGCAGCTAGTATTATGGGTGCTGCTAAAAATAGCAATAATAGCAAGATAATTTTGCTTATCCACCAGTAACACTTGCAAATGAAGGCATTTTGCTGCAGCTGTTAGGATTCAATGACTTCTAAGAAGGTGTTTAGTTCAAGATGCTGGAATTTTACATGAATGTGGATTTCACTGAAAACTGTTTAGTGCTGCTGTCTGTTGTGTTTATAAACGTGCATCCCTCTCCATCTTCTTTAAACATAAAGATTTGCTGTTGCCTGTGCAGATTCATTTTGTTATGCTGGTCCCAGACCATATAATCCAGCACCTCTTTTATTTTTGATGTGGCAGTAAAATGGAACCAGGAGGTTATTGCTATTCAGACAAGGGCTCACACATTTGAGCCCTCCCCGCAGGTACATCTGTGTGTGCATGCCCTTCACACATTCATGTCCCTGCCAGCATATGTGCTTATCTTGCTGGGTTTCTAATTTTCTGAGGAATTTTCAGGAGACTCAGCTGAGCTGTGTCTCTGCTGGCTGAGTTATTTCCTTACTCCTTCCTTACTTTTCACTTGCCTGTTCCTCTCTGTGCTTCCCGCATGCCTGCCTCAAACACTGCTGAGATCAAGCCCGCCCCGGGCAGGGACACTTCTGATGCCTCCTGCCAGCGTTGCCTGTTCTCTGCACGTCCATCAGTCCGGGAACTCGCTCTGTGTGTGCTGATGCTGATGCTGATGCTGATGCTGATGCAGTGGGGTGCAGTACCAGCTGAGATGAAGCCACCAATAAAGCCACAGGAGCACAATGCATATGGAAATGAAGCAAGATATGACAAACCTGCCGCTAGGGCAGCCTCAGCTCACCCAAACCGTGCTGAGCAGAGGAACAGCTGAAGGAATTTTTCATGTATTGTCACATCCTCAAAGCTTGTTTTTCAGAGCATAGAAATGCCTTTTGTTGTCTCTGAAGCCACCTCCTGTACATTTATGACTTGTAAATCAGTCTTACTT